ACTAGTGTGGCAGTGGAAGCAAGTTCATTCCACCTGTACCTCTCTGATTCAACTCTTCACAGTACTTAAGCAAGCACACCTAACTTTAAGCAGATGAGTCTGTCACATGCCTAAAACCAGGATTTAAAGTACCTAGACGCTCTGCTGAAGCACAGCTTTAATAGGTAATTTTACATGCCAACCTGTTTTTGTCACAAGGCTGCTAAGCAAACGTTAATATAGAGTGACATTGATAGAGTCGTTGCTTTAATATTCAGTTTCACAGAACACATCCCTAAATAGTAACTTTTTTTCAAGCTGATAGATTAAGCAGTCTCTGGGTAAAAAAAAAAAAAAAAAAATTATTAAAAAAAACAAACCATAAAATGAGCAATGACCATTTCAAATGATTTGCTTATTATATATAATATTGAGACTTTTTAACTGTACAAGCTGACATTTGCTTTCTTCAAAGCTAAAATCTACTGCACTATATGACCAAGTTCAGAAAGCTATTCTACCACTGATATGTGTGTGAAGGCATTTAGGCTTCATGTTTCCAGTGTCCCAATGCATAAGGAAAAACTTTTTAACAAAGTATAAATTCCGCTATAGGGCTATGTATTCTCTACTAACATTTTACATTTGACACCCTGAGAAAAATAACTGTGATGGTGGATAGCCATAATAACACTAAGAGATTCATTTTACCACTAGCAGACAAGAAACTCTAATCTTAACATTGCATTTCAACTTTTACCACCATCTCAGGTTTTTTTCCTTCCCACTTTTTGAAGATGATAATATGCTAGAGCTTGGATTTTAAAAACACTATCAGCATACTTCATGCTATTAAAAAAAATAACAAAGCATAACACAGTAAAAAATTCAATCAGTCATTTCCACATTGGAACATACCATAGTACTAACAGCAATGGTACAACAGAGAAAAGATGGCAAAGAAAATAAGGTGCTCAGACATGTTAGAAAATAAAAATAAGTCTGAACCACACAAGGTAATTAAAACTTGCTTCTGGAACTGTAACCCTATGGTGGGTTAACCCCAAGTGATGCCCACCAAGTCACTCTATCACCCTCCTGATTTCCTCCCCTTCCTCCACAGGGCAAAAGGGGAAAGGAAAATAAGATAGAGCCAGAAGCCTTGTAGGTAAAAATAAGGGCAGTTTAATTAGAGAGCAAAAGCCAAGCAATGCCCTGCATGGAAGCAAAGAGAAAAAAAAAAAAAAACAAAAACCAAAGACTTATTCTCTAATTCCCATCCCCAGGCGATGGGAACAGGGAAAAGGAGGCGACATTCTTAAATCCTGCCCTGTAACGGGATTTGAAGATTTTACCTTTGACATCTAATTCAGTCTCAGAGATGCCTCTTTGACCTCACTTTTGAAAAAAGCTGAATGATGCCTGCCTTTTTTTAAAAAAAAATATAGGTACAATAAGATACAGTTGTGCCTTCCATCCCATATGTGTGCTGGTTAAAACAGTCAGGATATGACCAGATTTAACAAGTAAATTAAATTCCTAAATGACACTTTCTAATCACTACTGTTTGTACACCATGGGAAGAGAGGTAGAATGTTTTAAAGTGCAGGCCCTTACTCTTATCTTCTGGTAAGCTTGTTCATGTTAGTGCTGGACACCCTTTGCAAACCAGTGAAGCATTAGTCCTGCTCAGCTGCAGGGGCAGAGGAATACCCAGTTCCAAATCTTAGTTCACTGCGTATATTAGCTGCTAAGGGGCCACGTCCTTCCATGACTGCCAATTCTAAGGATGTACACACATCGTTACAGTCATCTGGGGAGCTTCACAAGTGAAATAATCTATATGGCCCCTTGGTCTTCAATGTTACACAGCAGAGATCTTCAGGATAGCAACTGTGGCTTTGGGCACCCTGGCTCTATACAAATCCCCTTTAAGCAGTAACTTTCCTTCTAGATCTGGAATGTTTAGTTTCAGCCCTCAAAGTAGCCGGCAAAGACACACCCATAGCAGGCAGTTTTCACATTAACTCTCTCAAAGCAGGACAGATCATTAACTCTTCATAGTACAAGCTAGTAAGCCATTTAAGGACATTATATTTCTAATTATCTGATGTTAAAGACTTCAGAGATATCCTGGGCTGCATCAAGAGAAGTGTGGCCAGCAGGTCGAGGGAGGTGATTCTCCCCCTCTACTTCGCTCTGGTGAGACCCCACCTGGAGTACTGCATCCAGTTCTGGAGCCCCCATTACAAGAGGGACGTGGACCTGCTGGAGCGATTCCAGAGAAGGGCCACCAGAATGATCCAAGGGCTGGAGCAGCTCTCCTACGAGGACAGACTGAGAGAGTTGGGGCTGTTCAGTCTGGAGAAGAGAAGGCTCCCAGGTGACCTTATTGTGGCCTTCCAGGATCTTAAGGGGGCCTACAAGAAAGCTGGGGAGGGACTTTTTAGGATATCGAGTAACAACAGAACTAGGGGGAATGGGGCAAAGCTGGAAGTGGGCAGATTCAGACTGGATGTGAGGAAGAAGTTCTTCACCATGAGAGTGGTGAGACCCTGGAATGGGTTGCCCAGGGAGGTGGTTGAGGCCCCATCCCTGGGGGTCTTTAAGGCCAGGCTGGATGAGGCTCTGGGCAGCCTGATCTAGTGGGAGGTGTCCCTGCTCATGGCAGAGGGGTTGGAACTAGGTTATCCTTGTGGTCCCTTCCAACACTGATAGATTATGATCTGTTTTAGCAGAGGACTTTAGAGCCCTAAAGGCTTGATGGTTGGACTTGATGATCTTAAAGGTCTCTTCCAACCTAAAGGATTCTATGATTCTATAACTCTAGTGACTAGAAGTTCCACCTAGATAGATGTCCTATGCTTATATTCTTTAAGTGGTAAATATTTTTAAAACTATATTGGTTTCAGATTATCTCTTCAGAAGCAAATGAGATCAAAACTAGAAGACCCAAATACACATTTTGTGTTGAGGTTCACCTCCCATTCTCCATCAGAAAGAATAATGATACGATTAGGCATTGCTGATGAGCTCTTCCCTAAACTTGGAAATGAAAATAAGAGCATCCAGACTCTTTTTTTCTTAATAGACATGAAACATTCCAATTCAGCCAGCAAAGTACCTTCTTCAGAAATAACTTCTTAGCTCCAGATGCCAAAAGTATGATGGCATATCATCTTCCCTGAAATACTTTTTAGGATTTTTGCCATGTAGTCAGGTACAGGTGTATATATATGGTATATGTAAAACGTTAAATCTAACTTTAGCAGAAAAATATATATATAAGCAAAGCAATCATTCCAGCTTCAGTGGCATGGAGAAACGCTAAACAGTGCTGAAGTAATCACATGCAAATTTGTGCTTGAACCTAACCCTTACAATTTTTCTCTAAACAACGCTATCTGCAGTAGAACTTATTATTTAATAATACACGCACTGATCAGCCTCAAGAACTTTTTCGCACTATGTAGAGTCCAAATTATTTTGTCTGTGGTAGTTCAAAGGCAAAAAATTTATGTGACATGTACTTAACATTGTTCAAGCTGGCAGAAACCTGAGACATTTCAAAAAGCAGCTCCAAGATGGCACATGATTCAAGACAACACTCTCATTGCAATATGTAGTTTTACTTCTCCAAACATCTTTTTTAATACTTATTTTTACAATGGTTGCGTCATACAGAATACATTAAAGCAAACATTCAGAAAAAAAGGTCCAAGCCTGTGTGTGCCTGATATGCATATGCAAATGGTAGTTGCATGAAAGTGACAGAACTGAGCACAAATGACAGTTCCGAGCTGGTATCCACAAATAACTTACTTGCACAAGCCATATAACATCCCATTCAACCCTGACATAATGGTTTATAAACTGGTATTTTATATATGGGCAACAGCTCATACATTTTTACTCAACATTTGGACCTATTTTGATTCAGATAAACCAACATTCCACAAGTTTATAAGGAAAGCTGCCTTTCCAGTCCCACCTGTCCTTTCCAGCCTGCTTCAAAACCACCAAATTATTCATATACATGAAAGGAAGACTAGTTAAACCAAATTAAAGATTTGATTATATAAGCAGATTTTGGTATGTGCTTGAGTGCAAAAAACCCTGTACATTTGTTTAACGATTGCATAAATCAAAAACAGTAAATGGCTTGCTTAAAGTGCTCTACAGCTAAGAATTTATAGACCAAGTTTATCTCTAAATGAATACCCCCAAAAGCTTACAATGCTAACACTAACAACCTTATGGACCAAGGTGCGAGTAGGCACTGTTACTCCATATTACTCATTAATTATTAAGAGAGTCAGACTCCGACCTCACAGTTAATGCAAATTTACAGTGATGTAACTGAGAGCAGAATCCATCTCCTGGTCTATACCATCCTCAAATGATATAAAGGAGTCGCAAAAACAGAAGCTCCCTTCTGTATAAATATGTCATAAATAAAATATGTATAGATACAAATATTCATTACAACAGTATCTAAATGGTCTAATATTTCAACTCATTTTTATAATACTTTGCTAGAAACACATCTTAAGTGAGAAGAATATATCTTAACAGAGCTGCATGAGCTACTTGTGATGCTACGCACCCCAGAAACAATTTATGCACATTTTGAAGCCTTTAGTAGATCTCTAGATCTTTAGTAGTGAAAGTAGGTAGAAATTTTTGATGCAAAAAAGAATAAATAAATAAAAATTATTAAATACCCAATGCTTGGTAGAAATGCTTCATATTAAGTAATTTTTATACATTCGTTTAGAAAAATACACTAAATATTTCTACTTTCATTGGCTAAAAATAAGGACCAGATTATGTATATCCTTGTGTTTTTACAGAAGGCAATGTCAATTACCATCAAGCTGCTAGAGTAGACCCATTAGTGCCCATTCCCACAGCCCTTACACAGGCAAAATATCTATTGCGGGGCTAATCACAGCTCCTGGTGGTTGACCTGGTACAAACGACCAAGAGGCCCATGGCACAAGTTGCATTTTCTCCAAAACAATGAAATCTTTCTGCTGAAGTTTATAACCTGAAGGTTTACTTATGTGTCAGTCAGACCTTCACACTTTTTAAAAAGAGCTACATTTACAAATGTGGATGCTTATCTGTTAAGCCACCATTTGTTCCAAAAAATGCACATTCATACTGTGAAATATTAGGAAAATACTCTTGCAAATAAACTATATAAAGATAAAATACACTTCAAAGATATTTTTTATGTTATTCTATAAAGTGCAGAGAAATCCTTCTAAAAAGGGAAATTACTACTTCCTATAACAACAGTATAATTACAGCAGCTTTTGCATAGCATTATTCATAGAAAATTGAATACTTTCAATTTCTTCAGGAAGAAAAGGATGAAAGAGTCTCTTCTTGTTCAGATCTTCCTTTTGATACTGATCTATTTTCTTCAGGAATGGTTGATGATACCAGATCTCCATTGACAGTACTTCTAGAACAGTGAGCAGATCCTATGGAAGACATCAACAAGTATTTCATTTTTAAACCAAAAAGCCCTCATCTAATGTGTCGGTTATTCTATTTGCTAACTATTTCCTATACAGAAGCAATCAGAAGCATAATTACTCTGGGCTTTTCCTGAAAGATTTCAATCACTATCATGCCCAAGGATGATAGATATGAAGAATGCTCACCTAATATAAATCAAGTAATTTTTTTTACATACATATTGATTTTTAAATTATGAAGGACAGTAATCTGTGAGGTGCATATTCTCTATGAGGAACACATAAACCCATTAACTTTTGTTTTTTTTTTTTAAGGAACTGACACATCAATAGGCATTTAATTTAAATATTTTCTATTATTAAAATGAAATGGATGACCTACTGCAAGTCAGGTATTGCGAGGCTACCTGACAGGATAAAGAAAGAACTAAGATAAATGGAAGGCAGCAAGGAAAGCTTCTAATACAGTAAAAGAAAACAAACAAACCAACCCCAAAAAACAAAGAAAATGAGCTAGAGAGCTAGATGGTAAGGAACCAAAAAAGCCTGGTATTAGCAGAAACACACAAAACAAAGACACTTCTCAGCAGTCCTGAATAGAGTCAGACCAAGTAAGCAACACCAGAAGGTCCAGATGGTAACAACAAAAGCTTTGTGTTACAGTAAGCTAGGCTGATGTGCACCTACATTAGCAGTGAGACACAGAATAGGATTTAAACTAAGTTTATTAGCTCGGAATGCATCCTGGCACACCCTGTACTGGTGGCAGATGAGTGAGGTGGAAGAGGTGGTCACCCTGCAACATGAGCGCACCAGAGAACCACAGAAATGGTGCAGAGGTTCCTTCATGACTGTATGTGAAGCCTGAGTACCTCTTTGTGCTTACATGAGCTTTCAGCAATGCACAGGCCTCAGGATTTTTCAATCCAAGTGAGACACTAGGCACTCCAAAAGGAAGCAGGACAAACCAGAATAAGTCAAGAAGAACTAATCAAGTTAAAGGCTCCCCAAGAGGAGTTAGGACAGAGTCAAAATGACAAGAGGATTCAAAAGGAAAAGCCACAGAAGAACTGGTAACTAACTCAGTAGGCCCATCTAATCAGGAGGAAATAATACTGTGATTATGACAATTTCATAATTTTGGGCATTGCTTTTATTTTTTATTGGCAAGGTTGCATTCTTTCAGAACAGTGCTATTCTCTACCGAAGGCAAGCAGCTACTGAAATGAACCATCTCTCTGCAGTGCATAGGGTGGAAATTTCTTCCCACCACTCACAGTAGTCACAAGAAGATTTTGTTTTGTGACACCAAGCAGGTACCAAACAATAGTATTCCACGCCACTGAACAGAACACCCTTCATGTAAGATCCCATTAGTACAAACACCCCTTTCTGGTTACCTCTCTATTTTATCCTGCCAGTAGTCCCACTGATTTCAGCCCAACTACTCCAGCTGTAAGATCCTTTTCAATATGAATGAAATCCAGCAGTCAGCCACATAAATTATACAAGTTCTTTGATTTATAAATTGGAACCTTGCAACGAACACTTTTGAGTAACTAAGAAAATTTTTTGCTCCTGCTGACTTCAGCACTAGAACAGCTGCTGTAAGCAGAAAGATACAAACTAAAACCACCTCTCTCCCAAACTTACGCTGGGGATCTTCAAAAGGAGAGTCACTGCAAGATTCTGTATCTGAGTATGTCCTTCTGCGCTGCTGTGACAGTCTATGGAAGGACGAAACTGGCTCTTTTACAGAGTGATTAGTCCTACAAAAGAAATTACATCTATTAGTAAGCAAACCCTGTAACAACTCACACAAAATTAATACACTTTAAAATTATTTTGGTGCTCAGCCTGAATGGTATCAATGTTTTTCACTATACTAAAACTAAAAATGGCAGTCAACAGAACTTTCTTCATCTTCAAAATTTCAAAGCCTGAAAATGGAAATAAAAAAACGTAATAGAAACTTCACAAGCAGAAGAAAATAGCTTAAGAATCTAAAATGCTGACCCAAAAGAATGTTAGTGTTTCAAGCTCTATGTCTAATTTCATGAACTTATCAGAATAAGTCACTTGCATCAAGTTTCTAGCATGAAGACATTTTCATAGTGTATTAGAGACAGCAGCTGCATCATCTGCCACCAACGCTGACAACCTGCAACCTCAGTTTTCAAAATTAGATCTATTTATGCTATTTAATTTTTTTTTTCCCCCCCCCCCCCAAGCAAACAGTTCTTCTTACATTTGATTTTAATGCTAGAAGGTTCAGGGTGATTTTCTGAGACATAAGAAAAAAGCTTAATGAAATAGATTACCTTTCTGAATAGCAAGGACCAGGGTGGCTAATGGAACGCTTCATCTAGAGGGGAAAAAAAAATCCCAAACAACAACAAAAATGTCACAAGCTACTTATAATAAGCATACCTATATTAATTTTACTTTATTTACAGTCTCTACAAAAAGAATGCAATTTTTTTTTTAATGAAAAGCAACTGTTCTTAGTTGAAAATCTGTTTTAATAATATGAAAACAGATGCCATCAATATTAAAAAGTTTTTAAAGCATTCACACTGGAAATAATTTACTACAAAAAGCAATAACTAGTTTCTATGGAATTCATTCCCTTTTGTTCCAAAGATACTCACAGTGCCATTTGTTAATTGCTACAATATACAGAAATATTGAGACATTTTTCCTCTACCAAATCCCAGATTAAATTCCCCATTACTAAAGCCAAACCCTGATTTTCAATTCCTTGTGGTTCTCCTGATACCAATGTCCAATCTCTATGCATATCAAAGAAAGTTAAATTAAAATAAATAATGATCAGCTTTGTAAGTAAATCAATTGAAGATGAAAGAGACAAGAGAACCAAGTGAAAAGAAAGGGATTTCCACAACAAAATCCCACAATACAGCTCATCATGGGACCCATACATGTGACAGAGAAGACATTTAAGTTGATTCCACAAACGTTGTCCTTCTAAGGGAAGTAATCAGTAGTGAAGAGTTATGCAAGTAGTATCTCTACCATTATTTACATTTTTGTTAAGGGCATGTTAGATTAATACACTTTCAACACTGAAAAGATATGGTATCTTCCTGAAGTGTTTCAAGCCACAAACCACTTATCTCTTTAAACAGGAGGCAAGGTTATGAAATTTTTAAGGTCAGTGTACAGCTATCATTCAAAAAAGCCAAACAAACAGTTGAACTGAGGAAAAGTTAAACTCGTTCATTTATGAGACACCTCATTACATTACAAATTATCATGTAGGACAAATTACCCTCATTATGTAAAGGCTAGCCAACGAAGACTGGGAATGGAAAAGTAATGATTTATATTTAGGATGAGTACTCATTGTGACAGTCAAGATTTCAGCTGCTGACATCACAGCAAGAGCATAGCCTTCTGCCATTCTTCCCCCCATCCAACAACCATATGACACTTAACACTTAAGAAGAATAGTATTTCAAAATGTCTACACCATTTGCACAGGTGACGGTGACACAGGAGAAACTAAGGGATCAGGGTGAGGCAGCTGGAACAGTTCTGGCTTAAACTTGGCATTAGCAATCTTCACACATTCTTCAAGTGTCGTGATAAATGTATTACACGTGGCACTAAGCAAGGAAGAGGCTTCATTCATGTTCTGAAAATAAATGAAAGTACAAGTATAAGCAAGAAAAAAAAAGCAAATAAAACTCTCCCCTAGCATCACTCCCACCCACACTATAATTTTCCTCATTGTCACTAAGAATTTCTATTTCCCATTTTCTTTCATCAAATGTACACCTTCCAATGAGGTTAATTCAGGCAAACAAACGTGACAGCGTTATAACTTCTTTCTGACATCTGAATTGTTTTCGAGTATCAGCCGACAACGCCGTAACGTTTATTGCAAAGCCTGTTTCAGAGTGACTTCTGGTATCACCACACCATTCAGTGAAACAAATGAATTGCAGCAGAATCTGTGAACAGCTTCATGGCTGCAGGGCAAGCAGCCTGCAGGTCAGTTTTGCCTTGCTGGAAATTGACACTTTGCTGTATTGTGACTAAGTGTAAACTTCTTGCTTGGCTCTAAGTGAAGAACAGTATCATCCACACCCTGCTTAAGAGTCTCAAGAATGGCACCATTCATAATTTCCAGCACTAACTTTAATTCAAAAGCAGAGACACTGGAATAATTTCACTTGAGTATATTTAGGGAGACAAAACAGAGTACCCTCCTAAGAGAAAGGATTAGAATAAGGAATGGATAAATAAGACTGTTTTGACTGCTCTACCCATAACAGAGATGTGAAGGAAGAAAAATTATTGCATAACTTAAATGGCAGCTCTTCTGACCTTTCAACCAAATAACTTAATAACACAATTGCTTCCTAATGCATGTTACAATTACAGAAATCATCCAGGTACTTTACGCACATATAATCACCATTAGCATTACATACACACAAGCACTCAAAAATTGACCTCAGGTTAAATTTCCCAACATTAGGGAAATGAAAAAGGAATCAGATGTAAACAGAAACTTGAGGTGTATTATATAATTAGGCTGCCCAATGGCACCCTATAAACGCTGTACCTCAATGCTGGGAAGAGGGCGAGTCTCATCATGGTGAACAAATTCTTGTATTGTATGAACTTGCTGCATTAAAAGATCACAGTAGAGACGAAGTTCAGACATTTTGGTTTTAAGAGATTCAGTGGTCTCACTTATCTCTAGAAAAAAAATAACAGAAATATCAATTTATTGCATACAGATTTTTCTTTTTAAGCACTTCTCATTTAAAACTAAGTATCAATTTAAAAACTCTTAAATTTAACTTCTACTTAATTTTGAAGCAAACTGGATTCTTTACTGAGTCAAGAACGGCACTTGAAGCAGACAATAGTTTGTACTTTGTATGACTGATGCTAAATTAATGACCACTAAGAAAGAGACACATTACTAAGAAAGATAAAGTTGAAATCATTCTTATCTGCAATGTAGTGTAGAAAAAAAATAGTGGATGAAATTTACACCCACCAGAGTGGCTGGAAATGGTTACATGAAGCCATCAAGGAAAAATTATGGAAAAAAGAATGTTAACTATAAAAAAAAAAAAAAAAAAATCAAAACAACTTCACAACTACTACAAAATACCAAACAATCCTTGATTCAAACATCAAGGAGTAATTTACCATAAAGGTAACTATAAATACTTATGATTTATATTTTAAAACAATAATACTGACTTCCTACCACAATATTTGCACCATCACTATCTGAAAACAAGCATTTGAAAAACAATGGTAAGGTTGTATATACTCCAGATAACACACACCTTTTTCTTTTTTTGTTCTGGTATCTGCTAAACAGGCTTTTGCACTCCCCAGTGCTACCAGCCACCTCTGTCTTTCGGCTGCATTAACTGCTTTCATATAGAAATGCTGTTCCCCTGGGATAATCAGTTCCATCCTTGTGTTGTCTGTTGCATGAACTTATGACAGAGGAGAAAAAAAAAAAAAAAAAAAAAACAATTTGGAAAAAAAAGAAGAAAAACATCAACTCAGTAGCAATTATTTATTGAATACCAATCAAAGTATTTTGAAATGTTTATTACAATCCCACAGTAATACAGTAAACCAGATGTACCACTGCTAAATAACAAAAAGTCCAAAGCTAGTCAGCCCAGGATGCCATCCAAGCCAACAGGCAGGAACACCAGAACAGTGGCCAGACCCAAGCACAATGGCGTTCCCTCTCTGCATTAACAATATGCTGCATATCAATCTCTAGTAACTGCTGTATTCCAAACCTCTTCTAAACATGGCAAACTGAAGAGTTTTGTTACAAGGGTAAAAACTGAAATAGTCTCCTTTCTAGATGAAATGTGGCTTCAGGCCACAGAGTCCTAGAACCAAGAAGAACTGAGATGGACTTTGTTGTTTTGTTTTGTTGTTTTTTTTTTTTCATTTTACTACTGTATTCAATACTACATCTTTAACTGAATACTCTGCCAAGTTCCATGTTATCAACCACAGTTTCTCCAGACCCACTGCCCACTAGCCATGAATGCAGGAGACTGGACTATTCCATTATTCACTTGTGGACTTCAACTATTACCTTTCCTTCACCAAAAGAACAAGATGACAAGCAAAACAAACAACTGGAATGGCCAAAAATGGTATCTTCTACTTTATATCACTGCTTTCATCTATATGAAGGAAAGAGTAACAAAAAGCAGTCACCACCTGAAATATACTTGGTAGCTCATGCAATATAAAAGTCCTCCTTTTTAATATAAAAGTATTCACATTACAAGCCCAGTCATCTGCAGGTATCTGGAAAGAGGCCAACAGCTGAAAGCAATGCCTTGCTATCAGCCAAGGAGGCTGACCTACAGCTTGGAATACACTCAAGGCTAAACTCACCACCTGACACAGTTCACTTCCTGACTCCAGTACATCCATCACCTATGCACGTGGGCAGCTGCTAGCAGTGTCAAAAGTAAAAATGACTCAGGAAAATAAAAGACTAAACATTTCTGGTTTATAACAACCTTCACTTTTGGGTCACAGTTACTACTCTTCTGAAAAAACAGCATTTATGATTCATTATCTCATGCCTGATCACAAGAAGGAAAAGCAGTAGAACTAAATAAGTAGCCAAGGTAACTTCATGCATAAGCCACATGCACACAACTACTTAAAAGAAAAGGGAATACGTGGTGGATTCTGAATCTCAAAACAGAGCTCTAACTGTCGGAAACATTTTTTTCTTTTCCACAACGTCATTGTTCACAAATAATAATGAACATGAATTACAAAGCAATCTCACATAGACAACAGGAGAGGAAAAATTTGTGATGGAAAACATATGTTGGGTGATGTTTTCTATTCCCCCGGCAGCTAAAACTTCCTCAAGCAGAAATCTATTAATTCTTACCTTTTATTTCACACACAGCCATCTTTATACTTCCTTTGCTGCCTTTGCAAACATCATCTTGTGAGTCATAGTATGACAGTATCCCATTGTCTAAAACAAACCACCGAGGCTGCCAACCTAGTGAGACAAAGACCAGGAAAAGTAAAGTTTAGTCTAATTACAAAATTATAAATCAAATTCAGGTCTTTGGCTGCTACAACTTCTATAAAAGAAATGCAAACACTAAACCATTCTTGTAACACATCAAGAAGTAAACAACCTGCACAGTCTGAAGACCAGAGCTGCTCTCACACACAGACCAGAGTTGTATGGATATTTCACTGTTCTCTTCAGATCTATGTATTTCAGTTTTCACTATAATCCATTCTAGAACAAACTTAAATTTTCACTTAGCCACTAGGGAATCACATGTTGAAGGATGACAAACTACATACTTCAGAAGAACCATTCTCATTCAAGCATATTTTTCATGTAGGCTTTCTTTAGATTGTAGGAACTTATTTGTAAGATACGAATAAATGGCTGATGATGCCACCAACTGCTATGCTATGGTCTCCTCTGCATACTGTATTTCAGTGAAAACTTTCTATTTCACACCAGCTACTGACACACCATTTTCACTGAAAGTAGCCCAGCTCCATTGCTCAGCAACAACTTTGGGCCCTCTTGGATTACAGTATATTCGCATTCCCTTTTTTTTTTTTCTTTGGTGTTTGTTTGCTTTTAATTCCTTTTTTTAAAAATGTCCTGGTTTGGGCTACAGTTTAGGGTCAGAGCTGCCCCCAGACCCAACCCTAAACTGTGACAAACAGCTATTTCATAAATATCAGCTCACTGGAATAGGTGCCCTAATTTCTAACACTACCAAACGCAAACCATTTTGCCTAGTAAATCACCTTTGTTTCTAAAAATAACAGAGCTAAAATATTCCAGTAGAGCATAACAATTACACTGGCCCATTACAGTCTGTGTCAGCTATACAACAGGAGCAGATTGTCCCTGTATTTCACAGCTCCACAGCAAACTTTAGCTTCCTGCTTGGCTTAGGGTCTGGAACGGCAATAATTGCGTGGCCAAGAACACAGGAAAGCTGGTGGCTTTATCAGGCACCAGACTCTTGAAAATCAGCTGAAGGTTTCATACTATTCACATTAACCCATTACAAATTTTAATGCTAATTCAAGAATTCTTAAGACCAGGCCCTGTTACATCACATCACAACTGCAAGATAAGGCAATAATAACATTTAACTTTTTTAAAAAATTATTGGCTATAAAGGTAAGCATCTGCATCTTTCAAAACACGGTGTGGTAACTAACAAGCAGATCCACATTCAAATACAAAAACAGAACTAAAAAGAAGTACAAATATCAAGGGATACCAACTCCCAAAGGAAATACTCCAAACTGTATGTGTACATCACCTCTTATACTAAAAGAATACACAAACAGTCATGAAACGACTGTACTGAAAACCTTTGCTTGTAAAATGCAGCTCAGAAATGCACTTTTTCTTTTTCCCCTGCTACACTACTGCAAAACATTGCCTCTGTGCTGCCCTTATCTCTTAAATGTGTGCTCGTGTGGTAAGTAAATGACTGTCTCAGCTGTCTGACTCTGACAAAAAAGCACCCTAAATGGATGACTCCAGTCTCACATTATGCTGGTACTGGAAAAAAAAAAAAAGAAGCAAAGGACTTAACAGACTCCAAGTGCCCCACAGAAGCAAGCTAGAACAAAAAATTCTTCCAATTTGAAATTGGGCAAACAGAACATCTCATGTTTGACAAAATATTTAACGATTTGTACTTTACAAATTCTCAGATGCACATATACTATTGGGGGGGAAAGAAAGCTGTGTTTCTGGTGGGTTTTGTTTGTTTGCTTTAATGAAGGAGGAAATTAGATGTTCTTGATAATGCTTCAGCAACAATAACAAGTTCCTTTGCTGCTTGGCTTCTACTGTTAGTAACTAGAAGTACAGAAAATTTCTGGCTACAAAAATAGACAGTAGAGTAACAACAAAGTTAGCAATAAAATATTAATATTTCACTAATATGATTAGATTATTTCCTTTTTAAATTTGATGCTATCCTATATTCCAGAAATTGTAGGGCATTTCTGACACACTAATTTTGAAATGCAAAAACTCTCAGCTGGGCAGCACAGCAGGAAGGAAGCGTTCTGCGGTCTGTTATTTTAGAGGGCTAGAGACTTTCAGCAGAAGTTAGCTGCATGTTGATACTGCATATTGATATAAATCTATTGTGTGTACAGCATTCAGAGCTACTGTTGAATATTTGCATATTAAATAAGAGACCTCAAATGGGAAGTTTATATCAAACACCACAAGACCTCATAATCTGTGACCTTTTGCCCTTTGCTACAGTAACATTTTTGGTCACAGAAGTGAAAGTGACACTTTCCATCCTATTTTGAAAAGAAACTTGTACTCATTTCTTTCATAACCACTTTCTTCCTACATGTTTTCTCAACAATTAATGTGAAGAAGTGACAAAAATATAAAATATCAATAACAGTACTATTCTCTTTCACTGGAAGGCCAGTACATGTGGACACACATTTGCTCTGGAAAACACAAGATTATGCTCTGTACACATCAATTCCCAGAGTGCACACTATCCTTGTAACATAGCCCACATTTTATAAACCCTCAGAACTGAGTTTCACACCACTCCACACTCAAACTCTGAATATGCTGAAATAAAACAGTGCACACAAAGTGTCAAAGAACAAGAGGGTGAAGTGCTAGAGCTAAACGCCCAGGCCCGAACGAGGGTGGGCATATGAATGATGATGTCCAGAACCAGGCAAGAAAAACCCTCCTGACTGGTTTCACCCAGCCCAGGCTATGGCCAGCCTTGGGTGGGAACTGATTAGGAGATCCCCACCATGTTCCCCCCCCTTCCACGTTAACTAGGAGACAGGACAAGAAGCCACCTCTGTAAGAGCTGACTCTGCCTGCAGCGTAGTTAGGAGGTCTGTAGACACCGCATACATGCTGTGTAAGGATTCTTGTTGTCAGAAAGGCTCCCTGGCTGTTCCTAGCAATCGGACTTCCCACGGCAGTGGGGAGAAAGATAAGCCTTTCCTTGGGAAACGTCTACATAATTGGACTCCTTGTCTGGCTGGTTCGATCTCCCATGGCATGGTTCCTTGGTCAGCTTGCTCCCTTCACTTGCACATCCTTTGCAGTGAGTGAATGCATTGACTTGTTCCTCCCTCCAGTTGTCTGGCACTTTGGATCTTTGTTGTACAACCTGGTAGCAGAGGGAGGACTCTGTGTGTTGGTTTGCTTGTTAACCATTTCCTTCTACATCAGGCGAGCAATCAGCAGAAGAGAAGACAAAGCAAATATTGCCAAAGCAGTCAAACATGAAACCTGATAAGCGTGGTATATGATCCAACACTGATCTGCTCTGGAGGGACAGTTAGTCCTATTACTGTGTCAGATAAGAAATGTTTCACCTTGACAGTACCATCTATCCATTGCTGTCTCCAGTAGGAGGTGGTATCTCTGTTAAAACAGAGGCACAAGCAAACAAAACCAGAGCTTGGATTGCAAATGCAGGCATTCGGTACACTTTTGTCTGCAGCACTTCTAAAACCACGTTTCATGAAACTATGAAACTTCACCCAGAACTCAATTTTTTTAATTTGTTTTACAGCCTAGAATATAGGTGTACCACGCTTAAAAAAAAAAAAAAAAAAAAAAAATACCATCCCAAAGCAAATTAAAAAAATAACTCAGACATTTCGTACTGAATATTTAAGATGTCTTCCTAAATGTTTTGTCAACTAGGAGCTAGGATACCTTCCAAGTTTGTATGCTGCAAATTAAAGCTATTTCTAAAAAACAGAGGTGGAGGAGAAATCCCATCGTCAGGCCAATAGAATAACTCACTTCAGGCGGCGTTCTCCCTGCGGCCTGCCCTGTGAGAGACCCTGCCGAACTGGGCAAGGCGTCATCCAGGCCTCGAGAGGTACCGGCCACCAAGTTCCCAGTGGAAGCCCACGGGGGCCGGGCGCTGGCCCGCTGTGAGCCCGTACGGGGAGACGCGAAGGGCCCGGCCCTGCCGAG